TTATAAAGCCCTGTTGCTGATGCATTGTGTGGTCCATGGCACATAATTGTTTCCACCTTAGTGGATATGTGCCTGGGAGCACTCTATATCTTAATGCCAATACTGATGGGCACAGTTTAGGTTTCATATTCTGTCCCTGGTTCCCATAAATTCAAGGGTCACCATACTTAAGATTTACTTCCCAGGCTTGTCAAATTTTCCTCAGTTACCTTTATCCAAATGTTTTTTTAGTAGCCATATTTCACTTTTGCATTGAAATGGCAACTCAACCAAACAAAGGAATTCAGATGAGAAATGCCCTTGGCACATATAACAATATGAGATGTGAATTAAATGGGAGGAAAAAATCCTCCCCATTGTGGATCTGAGCATGGACGATAATGGAGTTGTGATTTAGTCCATGAAAATATGTTAGACAAAGTGAGCTGACCTTTAGCTTCACTTACTGCTGAGACAAAATGAGAACATAAATAAAAATTAACTTCTTTTACCATTTTGTGAGAGTTTATAATTCATTGGTTTTACATTTATGTGTATAATGTTTATCTAGCTCTATAAAAATGTGCATTATTGCTAAAAGCTCAAGGGATTCCTGTATATGTAAATAGAAACTCAGAGAAACACTGAGTTGAAGTTACATATTTTTTTTTTCTCTAGAGAAGAGGTTTCTAATCCTAATACAGTGGTTCTTTAAAAAAATATATTAGCCCCATTTGATCCAATTTCTTACACTTGTCTAGCAATTTTGTTAAAGCCATTCAGGCAAACCAGCATCTTTGAGTAATCCTAGAGCTGAGGGATAGTCTTTCAATTGTTCTGCTTCATTCTTTGTAATTCAAATTAACGCCAATATTGCTAAGCAATAAATAGGTAAATCCATAAATTTAAGCACTTTGCGTACATCTATTTATACTTGTACATATGACATCACAAAAATGTATGGGCAGATGTGTACAGCGTATGAGCAAGTAATTTCTATTTCACTTATCTACTTACACTGAGATTAGTAGAAAGCACTATGCCCACATTGCTACAGAAGTGACTTAGTTTCAGTTCATTGAGTATTTTCTAAGAGTAGCATAGGTTTAAGCAATAGAATATGTTACTAAAGGATATGTAAAGGATATGTATGCTCTCTTGTGTTGGAAACCTTTAAAGAATATACTTGAAGACTAAACATCTATTTGTAAAGATCTAATGGGTGCCTTTCTAGAGTGGATACAGTAAAATAGATGACCCTTGGCAGTTCTTAGATTTGATGTAAGAACCGTGATCAAGCAAAATGTAAACAACGACCAACTCTTAAATAACTTGTTTCAAATCAATAATACTTTCCAATACATACTCTTGTTTAGTATTTGCAATTCTTTAAGGGGTTGGTATTATTTTCTTTGACAGACATTTAGACACATATTTCTTGGAAAAGAATCCATCTCTCTTAAATGTCTTTTGTATTACTCCTTTGTCAGGGCTATCATTTAAAAATAACATGGACTAGTGGCTTAAACAATAAAAATTTATTTTCTCACCATTCTGGAGGCCAGAAGTTCAAGACCAAGGTACTGGCAAGGGTCGGTCTCTTGTGAGGCCCCTGTCCTTGGCTTGCAGATGAACGCCTTGTTCCTGCGTCCTCATGTGGGGTCTCCTCTGTTGTACACATCCCTGGTGTTTTGCTGTGTCCAAATGTCCTCTTCTCATAAGGATACCCATCATATTGGAATAGAGCAACCTTAATAGATTCATTGTAACTTAACGTCTATTTAAAGTCACTATCTCCAGGTATGAGCACATTCCGATATAGTAGGTGGGGCATAGGGCTTCAACATGGATTTCAGGGGACACTATTCAGCCTGTAACATCTTCTGTTTATATTTGGCATATCCAGATAGTTGATACATATTTGTTATATAGTAAATTAATTACCAATGAATGAATGCATTGATGGCTATCATTAACTGTAAGCTAAATATTAGCTGAATCACAAACTTTCTCCGATAAATTATCAAAATTATCTATAATCATTATTTGGATACAAAGGACACTTTTAGTGGTATTTTTTAAATAGTTGTCTTAAATAGGTTGCCTGTATACCCAAAAGAGTGTTTACAGCAATCCCTCCCTCCCTCCCTTATCCATGGTTTTGCTCTCCTTGGCTTCAATTACTGGCAGTCAGCCATGGTCAGAAAATATTAAATGAAAAATTCCAGAAATAATTCATAAATTTTAAATTGCATGCCGTTTTGAGTAGCATGATGAAATCTTGTGCCATCCCACCTGTGTCCCACCCAGGACTGAATCACCCCTTCGTCCAGCGTCTTCATGCTGTCAATGCTACCCGCCCATTACTTATTACCTGTCTAGGTTCTTAGATTCACTGTCATGATCCCTCAGTGCTTGTGTTCAAGTCACCCTTGTTTTACGTAGTCATGGCCCCAAAGTGCAAGAGTAGTTATGTTGGCAATTCACATATGCTAAAGGAAAACTGTAAAGGGTTTTTCTTTATGTGAAAAGGTGACAATTCCCAACTTAATAAGGCAAAAAAATCATTTGCTGGGGTGGCTCAAAATCTGTGGTAAGAACAAATCTATCTGTGAAATTGTGAAGAAAGAAAAATTCATAAATACTATGTATAGGGTTTTGTAGTAGCTGCAGTTTTAGGCACCCACCTGAGGATTTTGGAGCATATCCCATGCGGATAAAGGAGAACTACCATATTGGTTTTTTGTGACTCATTCAGTGAACACAACTGCAATATTACATGCATCACATTAATACATCTCAGAGTTTCAATAAATGTGAAAATCTTATGCAACCTGGAATAGGAGATCTTTATTTGGATTTGTATTCCCACTAAAATCAATTATGCATTTCTACCTATGGGGTTACAGGCTTAAAATACTGCTTCAGTGGACACTATATGTCTTGTAGTACTAGAGAGAAGATGCTGTATGTACTTGGAAGTCTCTATTTTGTTTGTGAATATGATGCTATAGCTTGAGTTTGCTCCTTCTTCCATTGACTGTCATCTTCACTAGAGTTGATGGGCCACAATAAATTTCCCACATTTTGACTTTTAAGATCTGCATCATCACATCAGGCAGATGGTGTAGTTTATACTTAAGAGGTAAGATTTTCTCCATTTGAAGCTTTTTTCTGCCACAACTAATCTATTAACCATTTTGTTACTTGCCATTTTACCTGACATGTACTGACAGGGTCACTAGGAAGTTCACTAAAGAAATTCAAGCATGTTTTAGAAAAAACCTACATATACGCATTCGTAATAATTAAATGGTTGAAGTTATTGAATTCATTGATTTAAGGTTGGCACATTTCCTGTGGGTGTCTCACATCACTGAGAACTATGGCTTTTATTGTAAACATAATTCAAAATAAGTTGAGTAGAAAGTGAAACTACAAAAAATAAAAACCAGTTACATTATGCTGAAAGCAATAACATTGATATTTATGAAGAAAAACTGAAAACTCATTTATGACTGAGCTGCATATAAGTACATGATGATTTTAATACTGTACGAAAATGTTGACTGCCTTCTGTTTATGCGTGTGTATTTTTTAAGTGGTGGTAGATGAAACAATTTAAGAAACGTGACTCTCCAAGTCACTTAGAAATAGGTGGATTAGGGCCAGGTGCAGTGGCTCATGCCTGTAATCCCAGCACTTTGGGAGGCCGAGGCAGGTGGATCACCTGAGGTCAGAAGTTCGAGACCAGCCTGGCCAAGATGGCGAAACCCCGTTTCTACTAAAAATACAAAAATTAGTCGGACATGGTGGCGGACGCCTGTAATCTCAGCTACTGGGGAGGCTGAGGCAGGAGAATTGCCTGAACCCAGGAGGTGGAGGTTGCAGTGAGCTGAGATAGTGCCATTGCACTCCAGCCTGGGTGACAAGAGCAAAACTCTGTATCCAAAAAAAAAAAAAAAATCAGTGGGTTATTTTCATGATGCTAATTTCATTTGCATTGTTTAAATCATGTGTTAATATCCTCTAGATGAGTTAATACACATACATAGTATCAAGTAACATAGAAATTATGAGACTTATCTTAGACAATAGATTTTTCAAAAATATGAGTTATAAACATTTTTCTAGGTCTAATTCTATATAAAATAAAGCATGTCAGTATTTTATGATTTCTAGCTTTAAAGGTCCAACATATATGAGAAAATAAGTTGCTTATTTATGTGAAAAAGTCACAAAAAGTTGAAATTTTAGGCTATAAAGTGCATCATAATGAGGTTGAGCTAAATGCCATTTTTTAAATGCTTCCTTTGCATAGAAAGCATCACAATACGTGTTTTCCTTCCAAAAATCATTGGTAGTTGGTTTATGTTACATATTAAAACAGTGTGTGTTCTTAGACGTTAGTGACACATTAATGATGTAGTAGTTTTTACTCGGAGATAAGGTTTCTCACCAGAGTAGTTTAAAAACAGAACATTTTAATAATTTTGTAATAATTGAGAAAATTGGAAAATCTACATATGAATAGAGCTTAAGTTACTAATAACTTTCTTCTGCAATCCAAACGGTAGGCAATTCTCATTATGCAAGATTGCTTCAATTAAGAGTCTTTTGAGGTATTCTATTTAGTAGTCAGGTTTTTATTCTTTAGAGTGTATTTTCAAACGTAAGGAAGATACACCTTTTACTTGTTCTCATTGCAAAATCCTCTCTAATTCTGTATGTACGTCTTTGTTATCTTACGTTTGCTATGGAGCCATGTTATATAGTGATATAATAACCACTTCATATTGTTTGTATCTTTGCTTTTCTACGAAGGATACAAGACTTGGTCAGGTAAAGACAAAGTCACACCCCTTATTTAAATGTAAGCAGATCAGGAAGAGTGTCCTTTCCAACTTCTAGCATACATAGGAGACTCAAATTAGATACTTTGGCAGATTATTCATGCCATTTTTAATAAAACGTAGTTACCAATTGTTTACTGATGCTGTGGTTGATTGTCTCTTCCCTAGGTATTGGGAGATCGATGGGCAAACATCTGCAGGTGGACAGAAGACCGCTGGGTTCTTTTACAAGACATCCTTCTCAAATGGCAACGTCTTACTGAAGAACAGGTGAGTCATGTGTGAGAAACTAGCTGTAAAAGGCATGGGGGGATAATAAATTGGAAAAGTAAAGATTTATGTTTATTTATTCCTTGGAATTCTTTAATGTCTTGCAGTGCCTTTTTAGTGCATGGCTTTCAGAAAAAGAAGATGTGGTGAACAGGATTCACACAACTGGCTTTAAGGATCAAAATGAAATGTTATCAAGTCTTCAAAAACTGGCCGTATGTAATTTCTAGCTTTCAATAGTCTTATAACCCAGTAGTGTATATTATCACTATTATTTAGTCTCTTCTTTGCTATGGAATATTAAATGTTTATTTTTGCTTGGATCATAGATTATTCAAAAATGTCATATTGCTACTTTTCTGAATTAAAATGGGAAAAAACTCTAGCTGGATTTTCAACTTTGTTTTTCAAACAAAGTTGTACTATTGATAAAACACAGCATACCAGAATAAGACTTCAATTAAAGTTAATAAAGTAATACTAAGAAACGTTTGTGAGCCTTTCATAAAGTTCTAAGCAGCATAGTTCTAAAAAAAAAAAAAGAGACTAAAGTTGATTCTCAGAATAATATGTGAGAGATACTAAGTGATGATTATCCTCACATTGATGGAGTTTAACCTTAGTTTATTATAAAGGGATACCTGAGACTAAGTTACTTAAAAAATAAAGAGGTTTAACTGGCTCATGGTTCTGAAGGCTGTACAAGAAGCATGACACCAGCATCTGATCCTGGTAAGGGCCTCAGGAAGCTTACAATCATGGCAGAAGGAGAAGGGGAGCCAGTGTATATCACATGGCAAGAGTGGAAACAAAAGAGATAAGGGGAATGTCCCAGACTCTTTTAAACAACCAGATTTCATGTGAACTAATACTGAATGAGAACTGACTCATCATGAAAGGGATGGTGCTAAGCCATTCATGAGACATCCGCCCTCATGATCCAATCACCTCCCACCAGACCCTACCTCCAACACTGGGAATCACCTTTCAACATGAGATTTGGAGAAGACAGAGATCCAAACAATATCACCTACTTTTTCAAACAAAAAACATTAAAGCCAATCAAATGGCATTGATTATAAATGCCTCAAGTTTTGAGAAATGAGATTTCTTTGCAGTAAATGGACTTCAGAAAAGGCTTCATTGAAACATTTGGTTTCTGCAGGAATTTCCAAGATTAAAAAAAAAAAAAATACGGCCGGGCGCGGTGGCTCAAGCCTGTAGTCCCAGCTCCTTGGGAGGCTGAGGCAGGAGAATCACGTGAACCCGGGAGGCAGAGCTTGCAGTGAGCTGAGATCCAGTCACTGCACTCCAGCCTGGGCGACAGAGCGAGACTCCGTCTCAAATAAATAAATAAATAAATACATAAATAAATAAAATAAAATAAAAATACTTCAGTTTCTCTTACTCTGTGAATTTTATCGTTTCTAGTAAAAGAGGCCAGTCTGATACTGTGAGCTTAATTTTTCAAGTGAAATATTCTGTATTATGATTTCTTAAAATTTTTGATAGATTTGATTAAATGTTCACTTGATATGAACTTTTATAAAACAAAATGTAAGTAGTGTTTCATAATTTCACCTGAGTGAATCAATTTATATCTGTATTCACATTATATATTGTACTTCATAATAATGAAATCATTTCTAAACTTAAGTAAATTTTTCCACTTATTTTAAATACGTACTATTTTACCGGATATTTGTTTCATGTATATATATATATTTTTTGCTCCATAAATGCTAACCTGCATTGGTCTTTTAATTTAAAATAGATTCACTTATGTATTACTTGTTATTACGAGTTAGCTTATTATTGATACGAAATTATTTCTCAATGAATATAGACTTTATTAAGTGATGTGACTACCAAAAATAGAGTTCAGAAAAGTAACCTGTATAAGTTTCAAAACACAAGTGCAAAAATATCAGCTATATTTGTAGTTTTGGCCTGCAGCTGATGGGACACCATTGAGAGTTTGCAAAAGAATCATATTTGCATTTTTGTAATACTTTTTGGTAGGAAGATGTTTGATGGTATGAGGATTAATCAGAAGACCTGAACTAAGTAGCATTGGGTATTAAGATAAGGAGAGAAATATTAGAATGTTAAGATGTGATGAATGAAACTTGTGATAAGAGGCAGAAGTTCGAAATGGTTCCTAGACATTTCATTTGGGTGACCGGAGGGTTACTAGCCCTAATAGGAGAATAGAAGAGAAATTGGTGGAATGACAAGAATGATAATTATTTCAGATTTGGATATATTTAGTGTAAAATGTCCTTGAGACATCCAAGTTAAAAATCCTTTCCATTAGTCAGACTATACAACTAGAATCTCAGAAAAGGGTTCATGACTAGTTATTGATTCAGAAGCAATCAAAATGCTTCTGAGGGATTGTGTAGAGTGACACATTAAGTGAAATGAATAGATTCCAGGGGGAATGTCTACAGTCAAGGAGTAGACAGAGGACAAGATGTTAACCAAAAGATTGAGCAAATACCACAGGGGGAAAGCGGTATCACAAAAATGAGGAGAATAAATACTTCAAAAAAGTAGGAAGTGATATACGCTGTCACATGCCACAGAGAGGAGAGGATAAATTGCTGGTGGATTCTATCATATCTAGAGGAATGGATGCATGGATTACATCTCCTTAAAGCAGAATATACCTTACAAACATTGTTCTTCTCAGGTAAAATATGAATCCTTGCAGTAAATAAGTGAGTGACCACTGATTATCAAAATGCATTCATGCCCTCTGATTAGGAGCCAAGATATATTGCTAGTTAAATACAGAACCATGTGCTTCAGACAGTCAATCATAACGGTGATGGTCAATCATATTCTGTGGGTTGAAAAAGTCACAAGCTTGCCCAGATTCAAGGAAAAAGAATTAGGTTTCATTTCCTCCTGGAGAAGCACCAAGATCAAGTTATAGCAAAGCATCTGAGGTGAGGATATTTTACAGCCATCTTTGGAAAGTACCACATGCCAGAATAGTACAGTTATTTTACATGATGATAAATTCCAAATCTCAATATCTAGTGAAAGTTCCTACATATATTGTTGACTAGATTTACCAATCAAGAAAGTTGTTCTTAGGAAGCTACAAACTGACAAAATCCAAATATGTTAAAGCTAGATGAGATTTTGCATCTCATCTAGTGTTTCTTCAGTCTAATTGCACATCTAAAGTTCATTAGGAACAGCTACTCAGGTTATTTCCAAAAGAAAATCGAGATCAAGAAAAAACACAGGACCTGTATCCTACAACATTAGTATCAGACTTAAAATGAACACTAAGACATTCAGACTCAGGTCCAGGTCTTTCAGTCTATTTCAGTACTCCTCATGTCAGTTGATTCCTTGGAAAAAATAACTGCAACTGAGAACTGTCATTTCTAACAATAATGTGCCTCTATGTTAACATTTTTGTGAGCAGAAATCTTGGCTAGCCTCAGGGCCATACAAATGCTCTTTTAACAAAGTCTCAATAATTTTCCAATAGGTTTAAAAACTGTATTATGTCACCTTGCTTGTGAACAAAGAGAAAATATGTTTTCTATAGGTCTTGTCATTTGATAGTTTAAGCCAATTAACAAAACCTGACAGCTGGTCTAGAATTTGAGGTAAAATTCCCCTGCTGACTCAGGCAGTGAATAAGAATTTAATGTTCATTAAAATATGTCACAATCTGAGACCCAAAACAGGTACCATCTGTCACCAGTTTTCACTACATGTCTAGGTATAGATACACTGTACTAAAAACTCTCTTTTCTTTACAATAAGTATAATTTGTTTTGAAATACTATCACTAATAACCTACAGGATTGTCTCCTCCTTACCGTTGGGGTGGGAGGTGGGGATTATGACATTTAATTTGCTCTAGATCTTTGGGATTAGTGTCCAAATCATGTAGATCTCTTATTTTATATAATCAAAACTGATTTAAGTTTTAAACTGATTTGGCGTCAGGAATAAAAAATGAAGGGAAACAAGAAACAGTAGCTTTTATGAGGTGAATTATAAGACTTGTAGAATCATGTAAATTATCATGGGAAGATCTGAGTCAAGAAGAAATCTGTTCCTGAGTAAGTGTATTGCTGCTGGGGGGACTGTTGGTGTTTGCCAGGTAAAGACAGCTCTGGGGAAGCAGGGTGATCCAAGAGAGTATGCCATATAAGGGCTACAGAAGTACTTGGGAATTGAAGATACTCTTAAATGGCTGTGGGATCAAAGGACATGGATGAAGTGCTTATGGTAACTGAGCAAGTTCCTGTTGACAGTGCTGTTTGACTTGCTACCTTTACCTCAGCCGCTGGGATGGCCATTCAGACAGAAGCAATGCTTCTCAAAATGTGTTCCCCCAACCGGCAGCATCAGTATCAAGGAAATTTGTTAGGAATGCACATTGTTAGGTCATCTTCAGACCAATGATTTAGAAACTCTGGAAGTAGAGCCTAGTCATCTGCCTTTCAGGTAATTCTGGTGTTCTTTCAAGATGAGAACCTCTGTAATAGATCAACCTCCCAAAGTACAATTGGTGATTAGAATGAATTGGAGTACATCTTATATATAGATAAGTAACTACACATAATATAGGTGCAAAACTCAATTTTAACAATATAGGAGAAATTGTCTTGGCATTATTCTCTTATGCATATTGCTGATGAGAGTGAGATGAAGGTTTCCTGGGCCTTTCGTAACGATGCATTATCTTTTCACTTCAAATCATCTTGAACAGCTTATCTGTCTCTTCTCCGTATCCACTGCTCACCCAGTCTGATTTATTGACTGTACCTTCCTGCCTACCTTGGAGGTAGGTCCACATGCCTGGCTTCTATAAAAATAAAATATATTTCTTCTTTTACTATCTCCGCTGGCCTTTGCTTTGTACACATTTTCTAGATCTTCCTTTTGCCACCTGAATTTTCTAGAGCACTATGGGTCTCTGGCACTCATAGACCTATGGTTAATTATTGATATGTAGAAATACATATTTTATGCAATCATTAGTAACAAATCATAGTTATTTAATATGCACATGTAAGACCTAAGCTTAAAAGAGCCAGCATCAATGGATAGACAGGACAAGGTAATTCTAATGAATTCTATGATCTAATGTGTCTGGCACCATCATGGAGTTTCTTTCTTTTCCTCCCTTTGTTAATCCTGGGGGAGTTCTTCTGGAACCAGGAAATGACTACTGAAAGATAGAAAGAGAGAGAGAAACCGAGACCAAATAACTGAGCTGCCATCATCATTTTTGAAATGCATATCTAAAATTTATTAGGTAGAAGTCTGGGTTCAGTGTTTTTGTCATATAGACATATAAAAATTCATTTATTCAGTAATCACACAATGTAATTATAACATTGGTTTTACTTTACCTTGAGTGCACTTTTCTTAATTGGATTTTTTTTTTTTCTTTTTGGAGATGGAGTCTCGCTCTGTTGCCCAGGCTGGAGTGCAGTGGTACGATCTTGCCTCAGGGCAACCTCTACCTCCCTGGTTCAAGCGATTCTCTTGCCTCAGCCTCCTGAGTAGCTAGGACTACAGGCATGCACTAACATGCCCAGCTAATTTTTGTATTTTTAGTAGAGACAGGGTTTCTCTATGTTGGCCAGGCTGGTCTCGAACTCCTGACCTCTTGATCTGCCCGCCTCAGCCTCCGAAAGTGCTGAGATTATAGATGTGAGCCACCACCTCTAATTTTGTTTTTAATGGTGACTTTCATTTTTGTAATGCTTACCAAATGTTTCTTCATTTGACTTAATATTAAAACAGGAGGCTTACAACACTCCTGACATGTTTCCAGATCATTACATACTTTGTTTAAATAATGGGTAGACCCTTTAGCCTTATACATATGGCTATTTAAAATAGTTTCTTACAGTCTGAGAAAGTAAGCCAAAGAGGATTGTACTTACATAATTTTTTTTATTTTTAAATTTTTGTCTTTCTTTATATTGTGCCTCTTTCTGTAGTTAAAAAAAAAAAAAAGGAAAATGACACTGTATAATGTAACTGGAGGAATATACATTGAAATTGAAATTCAAATATGGCTCTCAGCTTGAGACAGGTAGCATAAACCTTTGTTCTAGTACTAATGCAAATATTCACTTAAATTTAATGGAAAGCTAACATGTGAATTAAACAAAATGAATATGCAAAACCTATCTATTGGGCTGGTACAGTGGCTCATGTCTGTAATCCCAGCACGTTGGGAGGCCAAGGCGAGTGGATCACTTGAGGTCAGGAGTTTGAGACCAGTCAGGCCAACATGGTGAGACCCCTGTCTCTACTAAAAATATGAAAAATTAGCTGGGCGTAGTGGCATGTGCCTGTAATGCCAGCTACTCACGAGACTGACATAGGAGAATTGCTTGAACCTGGGAGACAGAGGCTACAGTGAGCTGAGATCACGACACTGCACTCCAGCCTGCCCGACAGAGTGAGACTCCCCCAACTCAAAAAAAAAAAAAGGCACCTATCTATTGCTAAACCCCCACACCATGAGTTTTATTGTGATATGAATTCAATGTATAATATCTTAATTTATATTTTGGTCTATTATTTCAAGCTCAGAAAAATACTGAAGTCATTGTTAAGGAAAATCATTTCCCCTTAAAAATGGCATGAAGACTGAACTATAACATACACCAGGTGAAGCAGATTCTGAGTAAAAGACAAACTAATTGGAGGAGACACTAGAGCATTCTGCAGTTCAGAGCTATCAATGCTGGTGGCGTGCCAAAATGGACTACTTAGATTGTCCTTTTCAGGAAGGTGTATTGACTGCTCTAGGTTGGGGGCACTTTGGTTCATGAGTAATTGGTGCATCTGTTTCATGACAATTTCTATGCTGTATGTTATGTTAGCTCTTAAATAAACTTGGATTTGTTTCGGAAAGACAGGTATCACGGTTTATATTCATTGTATTTGCTGCCAAATATGGGGTTGTTAAGTGACTGTAAGATAATTTTCTCCTTTATTTCTCTTCCTTCTTCTTTTTTGTTTACAAATTAAGTCGGGGAGTAATGTTTAGTACCCAGGAATTGAATTTCTCCGTGTGCCAGGCAACGTTACTGAGTCAAGTAAAAAAACTGTCCTGATTTACTGATTTCACATAAACCACTTATTCCTTTCAAATCAACCATAGGGAGTTTGTAACCCTCCACAGCTCACAGGAACTTTGGAAACATAAATGGCATAAAAACTGTTTCATAAGACACCTGAGTATTTACAAAACCTGAAAAGAGATGCTGAAGGATTTATGTCATGCCCAGCGACTTAGTTCTTTTACTTAATGGGCTCTACAATTAGTTTTAAAAAATAATTACTCAAATAACCAGATGTTAATTGATTAATGGATGCTACGAAAATTTTAAGGTCAGTAAATCACATAATGAGATTTTTATCTCTAAATGGTGAACAGAATGTTAAAATGGTGGAAACAATAATATTGTAATTTTATCCAAATAATCATAGCATTTCAGAATAGCAAGCTTCCTTAGCCATTCTCATTTTCTCAACTCACTAGCTTTTCTTCAGTACTCCTGGTACCTGATTGTCATTTTTCATTTGAATTCTGTCAGGAATTAAGGGGAAATCCAAAAGCCATGCCTTCCAAATTCCACATGTTGATCTCTGTTTTGCCTTTTGAAGCAATATTACCTTTTCACTTGGATGTTCTTCAAATATTTTAAGGTAGCTCTTAATTGCCTCTAGTAGGTCTTTATTCTACATCTGACTTTCCTTTCTCTTCAAACTTCTTGGGAAAATTAGATAGATTATAACTTTCTACCTATATTTTTCTGAACTTTTGATCCTTTGCAGGCACGATTGAAATATTTTCTTATCTGTACAAATGAGCAAATACATGCAAAAGCAGATTGAACTATAGTGGTGTATAAAATGTAACCCAGGTTTATTCTGTGATCTTTCTTGTTTTAACAGGTTTTAAAAGCAGATCTAGAAAAGAAAAAGCAATCCATGGACAAACTTTATTCACTCAAACAAGATCTTCTTTCAACACTGAAGAATAAGTCAGTGACCCAAAAGATGGAAGCATGGCTGGAAAACTTTGCCCGGTGTTGGGATAATTTAGTCCAAAAACTTGAAAAGAGTACAGCACAGGTTAGTGATACCAATTATGCTACAGATGATCTCAGAGATTTTTAAAATCTGTATTAAGAGAGTAACATTATAACCCTACAAAAGAAGCAACCAGATTAGTTTTTACCCTGTGTTTAGTTAAATAAAAACATGATCCTTTTGCCTGTCTTCTTCTTGGAGAATGCTGAGGAGGAAGAGTGCTAATTAACTGAACTTGTTACTGCCCTAGAGTGAATTTCTTCCAGCCCAATAGTAATGGGGAACTGAGTGACTTAGAGCAGGTGAACAAAATGCTGGGAAACTGTATCATCACCATCTAACCCCAAATCAGAGATTGCTGGAACCACTAGGACCATTAGCCAACTCCATTTTACTCTTGAGAAAAATGAAACTTAGGGAAGAAAAGTAAATTTTTCAAGACAAGTTAGTGGTAGGAGGACTAGGGTTCAGGTCCTTTGATTTCTTGGAAAGTTTTTTATTAGCGCAGTTAATTATCTGGCTGTTGTACCTTTTCTGCCATAGACTGCTGATTTCATAAAATCATGAATGTGGCTTAGTTATACTAACACATATGGGCTGTAGATTATGAAAACATCTCAGCTACATTTGGGGTATGTGGTTTTATTATAATAATTTTTAAAAATTTAATCACTAAAATGGGGTAATGTTAAAAGCTGAACTTCTTGTCTTATATAATTGGATGGTAGAATAATGAGTAGTCATTCAGGATATAAACATGATATATAATAGTATTTAACATATTCTGCCACATAGTCTGGCATTATAAGGAATAACTTTAATCACAATTCATAGCTCAATGCACATGCATACACTTCCATATTCAATAGATTTTAGGCATATACTTCCTCTATTGTGAGACAAGCACACGAAATTTGTTTTCTTGAGAATTGACATCTGATAAGTAGCACTTAGGAAATGCCTTTTGAAGACATGAAGTTTGTAGTATTGCCTCCAGGAATAAAATTTAAGACAGCATAATAAACCAGCCTATATGATGTTCAATCACAGTTCAATGTTACTTTTAATCCAATTTGATATTTTAAAAAATAATTTGAAGAAATATGAATATAAATTGTAATAATTTCCCACACAATCATTAGATAATAAAAACTCCATTTGTTTTCCATTAAACATACTTTAGCAATTAATTGATCTAATAGTAATTTTACTACTGTATTGTCATTCCTCCAATTTTATGTGATCTGCCCATGACTTCTTTAAAATACGTTGGTATTTATGTAATAAATACATGAGACATTAGTCAATTTGATACTTTTTAACCGAACGTTAACATTATTCCCATATGTACCCATTACTTCTGTAGATTATTGCTGCCATAGAATGGTCAGTTGCCATGTTAAGAAAGATTGTCATTATTTGATAAAGAAAGTTATTTTGACATGCATCCTTTTTAAGGGATATGTTTATGGAGCTGTAACAGTTAACCACAGGTCGTGTTCTAGTTCATTTGCATTGCATGCAGTGGTTCTCAAACTTGAGTCTGCATAGTAGCCACCTGAGGAGCTAATTAAAATGCATATTCCTAAACACTTTGCTCAGAAAAATCTCATCCATAAGCTATGATAAGGACCTAAAACTCTACATCTTTACATGAAATTAAGTCCAACATGCATTATAGCATATATCTCTTCACTTGCTCATAGGGATACAATGAAGACAAAATGGACGCATTGACATGAAAGCATTTGAGGGGAAAATGGTTGAGCTTGATATGTAAGTCATGTAGTTAGTCTGAAGGGCTTTTTGTGGTTCACTGTCTGCTTTTTTTTATTTTTATTTTTTTGAGATGGAGTCTCACTGTGTCGCCCAGGCTGGAGTGCAGTGGCGCAGTCTCAGCTCACTTCAAGCTCCGCCTCCCAGGTTCACACCATCCTCCTGCCTCAGCCTCCCAAGTAGGTGGGACTATAGGCGCCCACCACCACTCCTGGCTAATTTTTTTGTATTTTTAGTAGAGACAGGGTTTCACCATGTTGTCCAGGATGGTCTCGATCTCCTGACCTTGTGATCCTCTCACTTCGGCCTCCCAAAGTGCTGAGATTACAGGTGTGAGCCACCACACCGGGCCCACTATCTGCTTTTAATTTTATTTTCAGTTACACGCTCCTATTGTGGGCTAGAAACAAATAAAAGGACTTAACATCATGTAAGTTGTTTTCCAGAACACTAAGCTTGAGTCTTTCTTAAACTCATATTTCAGTTTTCTCTCATTGCCTTTCCAAAAATTATGCTGTCATAGGATCGATCCAAATCTTTACTGGTTGTTTTTGAGCTCACAGGAAGATAGAAATGGAGCTACCCAGGAAAAGAGAAATTAAAAGCAGGTAAAGAGACAGCAGAGAAATAGTGTTATGTAAGAGCAACTAATTTTCTTTTATCTGTGTCAAATTGACCTTGATCAAAATTACATAAGAATTCCAAGAATATGGGCTGTAAGGTTGTGACTTTGAAGAACAAAGCTCACTTGTATGTGCATTTTCTATAATGATTGTAGGAGAAAAATCAGTTTCATTAATGACTATTCACATGATACCCTCAATTGTTTCAAAAATTATTTTAAATAATTAGTATAAAGAATGAGCAAAGTTCTTATAATGGTTAAAACCTATTGTGAGGCAGGGTATGGAAATCGTGATGGAGATGACAAGGCATCCAATTGTACTCATATAAAGAACACTGCTTGTGCATATGATTGCTATTCAGGTCAAAGCTTGGAGGCATTTTTGACCCTATGAAGCAGTCGCATGGCAAGAGATCAAAACGTGAAAAAAATAATCAGCTGGGAGGGCTGCTCTCTTGCATTTCAAACTCAGATTTGACTTGAATAATACCTGGACACAAGTATGAGGGTATTTAAGTTGATTAGAAGGTAGCCTAAGAAGATAGAAAATACTTTGTTTCTAAATGTTGGAGAGAGAATGACTCTTGCTATGTGGAGGCTTACAATGAGAAAAGAGGGCAAATATACCCTGGATTGACTTCTTTAAAAACTCAAATGATCCTGTTTCCCAGTAATTTTTCATAAATATACTTGTTGCAATTTGCACAATTTTTTCTAGTTGCCTTAACCCTGATCGATATATATTTTATCTTGATCATAATTGTGAAATACGATAGTGACGAATTCCGTCAACATTCGCTTGTCTGAAAAGGATTTTATTTCTCCTTCACTTATGAAGCTTACTTTGTCTGGATATGAAATTCTGCCTTGGAAATTCTTTTCTTTCACAGTGTTGAATATTAGTCCCCAGTCTCTACTGGCTTGTAGAGTTTCTGCTGAGAGATCTGCTGTTAATCTGATGGACTTCCCTTTGTAGGTGACCTGGCTTTTCTCTCTGGCTGCTCTTAACATGTTTTCTTTCATTTCAACCTTAGAGAATTTTATGATTATATATCTTGGGGTTGGTCTTCTCAGTGAGTATCTGGCATTTCTTGAATTTGAATATTGGGCTGGCTTTCTAGGTTGGGGAAGTTCTCCTGGATGATATCCTGAAGTATGATTCTCAACTTGGTTCTGTTCTCCCCATCTCTTTCAGGTACCCCAAACAATCTTTGCTTCAGAATTTACATAATCCCACATTTCTCAGAGGTTTTGTGCATTCATTTTTACTCGTTTTTTTCCTCTAATCTTGTCTACCTGTCTTATTTCAGCAAGATAGTCTTCAGGCTCTGAGATTCTTTCCTCTGCTTGGTCTATTCAGGTATTGACACTGTGATTGCATTCTGGAGTTCTCGTATTGCGTTTCTCATCTCCATCAGGTCATTTATGTTCCTCTGTAAATTGGTTATTCTGGTTATCAGCTCCTGTTATGTTTTATCATGGTTGTTAACTTCTTTGCATTGGGTTAGAACATTTTCCTCTAGCTCAGGGAAGTTCATTATTACCCCCCTTTGAAGCCTACTTCTCTCAATTCATCCATCTCAGCCTCAGCCCATCATCTCATTCCAGTCAGAATGGTGATTATTAAAAAGTCAAGAAACAACAGATGCTGACAGGGTTGCAGAGAAATGGGAATGCTTTTACACTGTTGGTGTGAATGTAAATTAGTTTAACCATTGTGGAAGACAGTGTGGCGATTCCTCAAAGAACTAGAACCAGAAATACCCAGCAAGGCCTTGACTGGGCATATACCCAAAGGAATATAAATCATCCCATTATAAAAATACATGCATTTGTATGTTCATTGCAGCACTATTCATGATAGCAAAGACATAGAATCAACCCAAATGCCCATCAATGATAGACTGGGTAAAGAAAATGTGGTATATATACACCATGGAATAGTATGCAGCCATAAAAAGGAATGAGATTTTGTCCTTTGCAGGGACATGGATGGAGCTGGAAACTGTTATTCTCAGCAAACTCATGCGGAAACAGAAAACCAAACACTGTGTGTTCTCACTCATAAGTGGGAGCTGAACAATGGAAACACATGGGCACGGGGAAGAGAACAACACACAGTGGGGCCTGTTGGTGGGAGAGGAGGGAGAGCGTCAGGAAAAACAGCTAATGGATGTTGTGCTCAATATCTATGTGATGGGTCAGTAGGTACAGCATACCACCATGGCACACATTTACCTACGTAACAAACCTGCACATCCAGTACATGTACCCTGGAACTTAATAAATGTGATAGTAAGAAATGTATTATAATTAATATTTTAAAATAGAATTTATGTGATTTGAAGCATTACTTTCCTCGTTTGACCGAAATCACATGTGCTGTTGAAAGGGTATATTATTCATATTCTTTACAATTTGATATGGTAATTGTAAGTACCATGTTATACCATAAATTATAATTACCATATTTAATATATAATTTACATTAAGTATTATACACCATACACTGGCTGCTTTGGTGTAAGCATATATTTTTTTTCAGGCGAGTCTAAAGGTTTTGTAGTTTTGTGAATTTTTAGTACAGTAAATTGTCTTAGGGATAAGGAAAGTTGTATGACTTATTAAGGTTCAAATATCT